CCCTCCCCAGTGACAGAGTCTCTCTTGCTCTGACAAATGATAAAATCACTGAAGGTAGTAGGATTAGGCCTAGTTAGTGACTCTGTTTTTTTAGGAAAAGCCAAAGAAAATTAATCTTGCTACTTTCCTGGATCTTCAGTGGCATACTATTTACTGTTGAGTGTAAAGAAAAAGATCCCATTTAAAAACTGCTACTTGTGGGCCCTGATTTAGCAAACCATGTTAGTGATTAACATTAAGGACAAATATAAGACCAAGAATGCTTTGCTGACTAGGGGTTTACACACGGAAATAGTCATACTATCTGCCAACAAGTTATCATTGTGGTAAGTATGCATATTCATAGAATCACAGAAACAGAGAATGATTTAGGTTGGAAGGGACCTTAAAGAGCATCGAGTTCCAACCCCCCTGCCATGGGCAGGGATACCTCCCACTAGACTGTCTAATTGTGTAAATATGTATATTCCTTCTTTCTAAAAAATCCCCACAGGCAGAAACTCTTAAGTACTGCAACAGGAAAATTAAGTATGTGATTAAACTCAAATCTCAGACTGAAATAGCTCATAACATGACCTGAGGACATTGGAGTGTTCTGTAAGAAATCAGTTGATGCAGTTGTGCTAATTAAAGGGAGAAAATGTTCTGAAGCTGTAGGACCTTTTAGCATATGCTCTGCTCCTTGGCTTTTAAAATTAGTCCTTGGCATTTACTTTTGAACAAGCAGATCCAAAGCCATTATTGGTTTAAATATTATCTAAAGAGAACATACTCAGTGTATTTTACCTTTAGTCTTACTGAGAAGTACTGTACCGTCCCTCTGCATTAGGTTGCCCTAGTGTAATCCAAGATTACACATAGATTATGTACAGCATGTTTTCAATGTCAAGAAAATGAAAAACAATAGAAGGAGCTCTGGATTTGTAAATTCTAGAATTCTGTGTAATCTAGAATCATAAGTACAATATAAAAAAATTAATTGACACAAAACCAGTCATAATATAGTAGCTATTCAGGGAAGTTGCAGCATCATTAGTTCATGCTAATTTGCAGAACCATGATCAAGTCCGGTGAACAATCAGAACTATCAGATTAACAATTCAGAATTTTTAACAAGTTGCCCTAACTAGATTTTTTTAATCCTATTTCCTGCAACCTTTCTCTGTCTTTCTCCTTCTCTTGCAATTACCCTACTTACTTGCTTTACCCTACTTACTTGCTTGCTACCTTTCCTACATCCTAAAATATTTCCATTTCTTCCCTAACACCTTTGTTAAAGAACAACGTAGTGCTTTTCTTTTTGCCCTGAAACTCTGGAGAACTCCTTGTCATGTCTTTATTTCACCCACAGTGTGACTGATTCCCCACTTATTTCTCAAGAGAGAGAAAGAGTAGGGGAAGGGAGAGGACAGGGGTAAGGGCTCGGGTTTGTTTGCAGTTTTACAGACTTACTCCTACCCCCTTCTTTCTTCTTTTCCCTTCCTCCCTCCTCGCCTCCCTCCCTCCCCATCAATACTTGGAAAATCATTCCCATTCATGTTGTGTGCGCGCACACGCTGGGAGAAATTACAGGCGCTCTGCTCCAGGTTGCCTTGACAACTTCAAGGCATCCCTGTGCGTGGGGACCGGTGGCAGAGCAAAGTTTCCCAGGCCCCCTGGGGAAGGGGAGGGGAGAGGAAGAGAGGAGGCAGAGGTGCTGGAGCCAGCAGCCATGCGGAGCAGAGAGCAGGGAGCAGGATGAAAGGGGCACATACATCTCCCGCCGGACAATGGGAGTTTTGCTGGCTGGCTGTGAAAGGACACACTGAGGACACAATGGTCTGTGACACATGAAAGCTTTGGAGCGAACTTTATTGCTTCTCCATTAAGGACCCTTCCAGCGTCCCATTCAGCTCTAAGAAATCTTGTCAACATTTTAAAATTTAAAGGAAACAAACCCCTTCATTTTCTCATGTTTTAAAAACAGATTTTAAATATTTTTTTAGATAATTCTTGTTGTTAGTATGCCGGAAGCTTTTGCAGTTTCAGCCCTGGATGGTATCGAGTGTCCCTCTTGTGAGTTCCCCGAGTTCCCACTAACTTCAGTGGGAGGGAAGGCTGCCCAGCAGCTCTCCAGTAAGGGCTCTCTGAGGTGAGAACTTGCTTCCTCCTCATATGGCTTTTGTTCATACTTAGGCCTGTCATCCCTCTGCTTTGAATGCTTGCTGCTATACATGCCACGAGTGGTTAGAGCTCAAGAAGAGAGGAATTGCTGTGCCCTACTTTCAAGCTGAGAAGTCATTTATATGATAAGCAAGAGCAGGAA